CCCCGCCGCCCCGCGCCGCCCGGCGCTTACTTTGCAGACACCGCGCGGCAGCCAGGCAGAGGGCGAGGAGCCCCAGGGATATGCCGCGGTTCTTCCTACTCCCGCTCGGCAGCGGCCTCATGAGCAACCCCCGGGCGGCTCGGGCCGGGCATGGGCTTCCAGCGGCGCGGCGCGGCTGGGCTGCGCGCTTGTCACCGCCGCCGTGCTGCCCCCGCCCGCCGCCTCCGCCCTCCTCCCCTGAGTCCGCAGGTCCTCTAGGGCCAAATGCAGATGAGCTGGTTATGTACAGCCAGTTCCCAAGAAGTGGGAAGGAAAGAGGAGAGACAGAGAATGGGAAGCGGTGAGGATGCATACACTCAGAAGCAAATAATGAGCCGTCTCCTTCCGTTCACACCCAGTTTACTGGTATTGATTCCTGATTCAGCTGGATGCTGGATGGCAGGAGGGAGGGAAAGTACTAGCTGTTGCCTGAGGACCAAGAGAGACTGTCTAATGGCTCCATGGGCAAGGAGAAGGCTTTTAGGAAAGTGAAGTGACAGCCTGGGGTGAAGGGGTGAGAACAAGGGACAAGGGAGCCCCAGGCTGCTCTGGGTGGAGCCACTGGATACTAGTGATAGCCATCCACCATCCATCATCTACGCATCCACCCACCCACCCATCTATCTACCATTCACCCATCCGTCAACCAACCTTCTATCCATCCACCCATCCATCCACCATCCACCATCGATCGATCCATCCATCCATCCATCCATCCATCCCTCCATCTATCCAAGTGTTCCCTCATAGCCTACGTGTTTGCACGGGGCCTGGCAAATGGTAGATACTCAGAGAGCACTGGGGGAATGTTTGAGCCAGATAGTGTTTGGTTCAGGGATGCCCACATGGGGCCCTCAGAGTCTGTGCTGGGATTGCTAAAATCAAGGATACAAACCTGGGGGTCCTGGAGGACCATCTTGCCTGTCACGTGGAGAGGCCCTGAATTAAGAATGACACCAAGATGACACAAACTGAGCCAGCTGGGAGCCGCCAAGAGAGACTGAGCCCTAATGACATGGTTTGAGCTCCGGGATTCTGCACACTTGCCTTTGCCACTTATGAGCAAGTAAATGCCCTCTCTTGGCTGGGAAAATTTAAGCTAGATTTCTACGACATAGAATTGAGAAAGTCCTGACCAATAAAAGTGATCTTCTTGAAACTTTCTCTTTATTCCATGTATGAGGATTTAGGAATCCTTTGTATTTGTTCATTCATCAAACTTTTATCAAATCTGCCTTCACACCAGGCAGTGTGCTAGGCTCCGCAGCTCCAAAGGTGACTAACTCATGGCTCCTAGGCCCAAGAAATTCACAGACTAGTGGAGACCGACTGGTCCAAATTGGGAAAGGGGTCCAGGCATGAAGGCTCTTCCTGCTGAGGCCAAGGTGGGAGGAAACTGCTTTGCTCACTGCTGTATACCTGGGATCTGGTGCATGGCAGGTGCTTCATAACTATTTGTTAAACGAGAAAAACTGAAGTCTGAGGAATTTAAGGGAGAAGGAAGAATCTCATGAGATCACGTGCTGATAAAGGTTAGAGTGACCCAGCGATGCTGTGAGTTTATCTCCTGCCTCTGTCAACCACCAGCTCTCCGGCCACGGAGACGTGACATCAACTCTCTGGACCTCTGAGGGGACTGGACCGGGCCAGAAATGGGCCACTCTGTCTGTACATTAGGAATAAAGCGCCACGGCCTGGGTGTCCCTCCCGGTCAATTGAGTCAAATGCTCTAGGGGTGGGGCATGGGCATCAGTGTTTTTCAAAAGCTCTCTGAATGATTCTGATGTGCAGCCAGGGCGGAAAAGCACTGTTCTACATTAGTTAGAAGCTTCTTCTGGTCACATTTGATGACACTTAAATCTTAGTTTGTCAGAGTCTTTCTTTAGAGTAGGCATGAGTCCATTTAAGCCTTGATTACATTGACCATTTCATTTCCCCTCTCTTTGTTCCTTTCTCCCTCTCTCTCTGTTCCTTTCTCCCTCTTTCTCTTTCTTTCAACAAATACCAGTTTTTTGTTGGTTTTAAAGATTTTATTTATTTATTTGAGAGAGAGAGAGAGCAAGAGACAGAGCACAAGCAGGGGGAGCTGGAGAAGCAGGCTCCCCGCTGAGCAGGGAACCCCACGTGGGGCTCAATCCCAGGACCCTGGGATCCTGACCTGAGTGGAAGGCAGACGATTAACCGACTGAGCCACCCAGGCGCCCCATGAGTTAACATTTCTTTACAGCAGTTTTCTTAGCTGTAAAATGGGATTCCGATATTACTACTTTCTGGTGCTGCTGTGAAGGTCAGTAAGACACAGGTGTGAAGGGGAGGATTCCATGGAAAACCCTGGGTCCATTATCACAATGTCCAGCTCATAATAGGTGCGTAATAGGTACTCAGTAATTGAATAAATTTCCCTGTGGCATTCATGCTTTTTAGTCTTGGGCTCAGAGAGGATACTTCTAAAGGGCAGAGACCATTTCTTCTAGATCCGCTGTGGTTGTCTCTTCCTGCACGGTGCTGGGCATGTTAAAGGTATTCAGTAAATAGGCAGTGGGGGCAGTATGGTGGATGGCAAAAAGTCTAACTTGAATTCCGGTCTTAGCTGTTCCATTACAGAAAGGATTGCATATCACTGGGTCTCAGTTTCTTCATTGGTAAAAATGAGGTGTGAGGTCTTCAGTACATGGTCTGGAGCAGATGCCTGTGCTTAATCTCAGAATATGGTCTTCAGTCCAACGTTACAAAACAAACATAAAGGTGAGAACGACAAAACAGTTTTCCTGAACTAGCCGGCACATGTGGGCTAGTTGGCCCACAGGGTCTGACATTACCATTACGCGCCCGGATGGGCTGGGTATGCCACCTACAAAGAAGGGCACTGAGCTAGTCAAGTCCAATTTCAATAAAAATCAATGAAAAAGTCACAAAGTCAGGGCACGATGAAAGAGTCCTGCCAAAGTAAAATAGGTCTGATCAAAGCTTACGAGTCATATTCTTACAATCACAATTTACCACTGTATTCAACAAAAATGACTGTGAACCGTATGCCACACAGAATTTTCTGATCCCGTGGACCATTACGGAAAACACCCGTGTGGGAGCAGTCCGCTCCAGCACGGAAGAGCATTTTCTCACTGATGTTGTTTAGAATTGCCAGTGCCTGGGGATAATAAAAACTTTTAGGTGGGTCTTATTCTTATTTTTAAATTCTCTTTAGTCACTGAACCTCCTCCTTGCATCAGGGGTCAGCGGCTCCCTGCCCCTGGTTTGCCAGGGATTGAATATTCGGGTGCTCTTGGGCTTCCTCTCTTTGATTTCTTACAACCTGAACATCCTTCTCATCTCAGCACAAACATCATTCTCTCTAGAGGCTTCCAGGAGCCCTGTCCTATTGACCTTTACAGTCACTGTCCCATTTTTTAAAACCAACCTGACTGAGGTTTCATTAATATGCGGGAAAAGGCATCCGTTGAAAGTGTGCGATTTGAGAGTTTTATTATATGGATACACCGATGAAACAATGACCACAATCAAGATGCAGAACATTTCCATCACTCCAGAGGTTCCCCTGTGCAGCCCGTTCATCCTTCTCTCTGCCCTTAGCCCCAGGCAACCAATGGTTTGTCGAGACAGATTCATTTGCATTCTCTAGAATCTTACATAAGTAGAATCATACAGCATGTTTTTTTTCACCCAGCATCGTTCTGAGATTCATCTGTGTTCTATGTGTCACTGGTTCACTCCTTGTCATCCCACTGAATGGCTAATCTGCGCTTTGTATATTCATTCACCTGCTGATGAACATTTGGGTTATTTTCCATTTTTGCCTTTTGACATCAGTTTTATTGTCTTCACTGCATGATGATTATCTGATATCATCTTGGGGTTTTTTAATTTATTTTATTTATTATTTTTTTAAGGATGTTTTTTAAAAAAATCTTGGTTTTTTGTTTTGTTTTGTTTTAATTTAATTGTTTTTGTGACTCCCCTCTTCTCCTGAGCTAAAACAAAAGACATTACTCTCTTGTCATTCACTGTATCTGCAGCGGGGGCGCATGATAGGAGCTCATGAATGAAATAATTCCAGAATTTCAACGATGGGCTGTACCTGGAGCATTCCTGAGTTCAAATACCAACCACGGCACCATTAGGTTTGTGACCTTGAGCAAATTGTCTCACCTCTCTGAATTTTTTGTATGATTTGTTTATTTATTTTAGAGAGAGAGTGAAGGGAAGGGCAGAGGGAGAGGGAAAGAGAGACTCTCAAGCAGACGCCCTGCTGAGCGGGGAGCCCAACTTGGGGCTTGATCTCACAACCTGAGCAGAAACCAAGGGTGGGACGCTTAACGGACTGTGCCACCCAGGCACCCCTCTTCATCTCTAAATTGAGCATTAATCATACTCTCTTACAAAGTTGTTGTGAAGCTACAGGTAGATTACTAACAGTGGAAAGTCAGGGCTGTCCTAAGTGTCTCAGAAGTAGTAACTCACTCAATCATTTAATCACTTAATCAATCCCACGTGGAGAGTACTATATCATGCTACCCATTTCACAGATGGGAAAATTGAGACACAGTTAGTGCTAGAGCTTCAACTTGCACTCAAGCTGTTTGGCTTATGAGACTGTTCTCCCCATCACTCAATTATTCTGCTTCTCTATGTTATCAGATGATACGTTGGTCAAGTAAATCAGTGTTACTGTATTTTCCCAGTAAATTGATTGTGAACCCTTGTTTGTACGTGTGGCCCAGGAGACTCCTGAGCCCCTTTGAAGGCAATGTGAGGGCTGGCCGGAGAGTGGGGTCTGCTCCTGAGGGTGTCCGAGTTAGCATGTAAGCAACTCGTAAATAACCACGGGGGACTGATCAATGTCAAATGATCAGTGTGGGGGGGGTGCTACCCCCCAAGGATAGGACAGCTATTTTCTGATTTGGACCATAAAGCACTTTACAAAGAATAACTGTTTAGGAATATTCTTAGAGCTACAGCATGTAAACTCTGTTTATAGCGTGTTATTTGAGTGACCAACTTGGGAGAGGCTCTCAGATCCAGGGAGGGGCTGGAGGGAGGGGAAAACTAGCTGAGCTACTCACAGTGCTTTGCTCTGCCTTGGGCTGCCTTCAACTTTAGGTCATGATCCCAGA